CTATGCCCAGCCCCTCCACATCTGGCGCCCCTTCCCCCTCCCCACTCCCATCCATGCACAGCACCTCCACATCTGAACCCTTGTCTTCTGCCTGCTCCCCTCTACTCCCATCCTGTCCAGGACCAGCGAGGGTGGGAGGGAGCCTCTCACCTTTGCTCTTTGGTTCTGAAACCAGACCTGAACCACACGCACGCTGAGGCCTGTCTCAGCCGCCAGTGTCTCTCGGACCTGGCCCGGAAAGGGAGAAACAGGTCAGACCTGTGGGGGCAGCGGCTAGGAGGTGGCAGGTTTGGGAGGATGGTGGGATGAGGGGAGGTAGAGGGACATCCCTGACCCAGGAGGAGCAAAGGCCCCAGCCCCTACCCAAGCCCACTCCAGTCACCCCTCACCTTTCGGCAGGGCTTGGAGGAGACCTCAAAAGAGGCCTTGAAGGCTCTTCGCTGCTGCGTGGTTAAGATAGTCCGGGGTCGCTTGGGCCTCCGTGGGTCCTTCCCGTCATCCCCGCTGCCCTTGTTCTGGCCACCCTGACCCTTGGCTGGCTTCATGTCTCCATCCTCATCCTCACTCTTCACTGTGGGAGACATAACCTGTCCTGTCAGGAGGGCCAAGAGGCAGCCCAGGCCCCAGTCGTATACCCTTAGGTCACATGCTGCCTGAGAGGAGTCCATCACCCTCTGCTGACACCAGCCATGGCTCCCTGGGGCCCTCGGGGTAAAGTCAACTCCTTCCCCTGGCCCACAGGCCTCCTCACCTAGTCCCTCACCTCGGACCCTCCTGTGTGCCCTGAGTATCCCTTCCCCAACAAGCACTCCTTGCTCCCTGGACCACAGTTCCCAGACCTGCTCTGCTGACCACACATGCCACACACAGGAACTAGCACAGGCCACACGGACAACCACAGGCACAGATGTGCACACACATTCATGCAGCTGCACACTTGGGTGCACAATCATTCAGGAAGCCCTCCATGCAGTCGTGTGTAAGACAGATCTGTCTGTCCAGGGCTTTCAGAACCCCTGCAGGGAAAGGATGGTATCTGTGGCTCCTTCTGGCCCTGGGCTTCTCCGACCCATCTTGCTGACCTGGGGCCCCCTGGAAACCCCATCCCAGCATGCCAGGTTTTGAGAAAACCATTTCCCACGGCACTAGCCCAATGCCTGCTGGGTACCAGGGCCCCAAGAGGAAACTGCAAGAAGTCATCATTCTTGAAGCCTCCAGGGACTAAGAATTAATAGGCACACACTCAGCACACATTTTCACACAAGAGTACTCAAGAGCACAGCATGTGTGTATGTACACATACACAAATACATACTAACTCGCTGGCACATGCACATGCAGACTGGCATATGGGCCCACAAAGGCCACAGCACAAGCAGCTCATATCACATTTACACACAGGCCCATGTTTGTGGGCAGGGGCGCTTGGGCACGCACACATGCAAAAGCATATGTGTTCACCCAGTGACACACCCGGACACAAGCCACTTCCATGCCCCAGGTTTGGGTCCACACATGACAGCCCCAGATGGACGGCCAAGTCTCCCCACCTACTACCGAACCTCCTGCTGCCCTCAACTGAACAGGTCTTTCTCGAGTCCTGCCTTTCTAAGGGTGCAAGCCCCCGTGGAGGGAGCTGAGCTCCTCCCACCAAGACTCCTAGGCCTGGTATGAAGGGACCACGGGTGCTTGGCCAGCCTCTGCTTTTCTATAGGAGTCTAAGGAGTGATAGGATCAGCCACAGTGGTGCCCTACCCAGGGGTGGACAGGGACAGATGGATGGAGAGTCAGTGCCTCCACCACCCTGGCAGTGACAAACCCTATGTGGGCAGCTACTGTTACCATGAGGCTTAGGTTACCCAAAAGGCCCCACAGACCAGGACATCACCCCATACTTCCCGCCCAAGTCCTTTCCTACTGTCCCCAGGAAAGACACAGGCTAAAGCCACCTCCCTGGCTTTTCCCTTCTTGAAACTCATTCCTGTCTGGTCTTGCCTTTCCTGCCAGGACAGCTAAAAACTGGCATAGTCCCTCTGGGGGCTGGAGCAAGAAGAGAGATGTCTTCACCCTGGAAACCAGACTGGCTCAATTCTGTCTGTTCCACACTGCTGAAGACTTTGGGGGGCCAATGAGCGAAGGACACATCAGATTCCTGCCTCTCAGACATCCCCAGCCTGCAGACCTGTTGCTGCAGACCCATGGAGCTGTGCCATGTCAGGAAAGAAAGGAGAGGGGGTGGGCCAGAGAACAAAGGGTATGTGTGTGTGCACGCATGTGTAAACCACAGTACGTGTGAGCATGTATACAGACATTCATGTGCAGCCTTATGTACAGGTGCTTGGAGCATGCGTTTGCTGGATCACGTGTGTATGTGTGTGTGTGTGTGTGTGTGTGTGTGTGTACATCTAGATGCAGCTTTTGTATGCTTGGGTATGGGAGCACATGTCCACACACACACTATGTACTTGTATATATGCTCCTGGACACGGGCGTCCCTGTGTGCATTTTATGTGCCTCTGTGTGCACACATGTGATCATGTGCACGTTTATCTGTATGGATATGCATAGGACCAGTGAGGGTGGGAGGTGCTGCAGGTAGTGAACAGAGGTGTGTCTTTTGTGTTTGGGGATATGCACATGAGTGTCTGGGTGCATGTATGCTTGTGAACACATCAGTGCACATGTGCATATGGATGTGCGTGCACTCTGTGTGCAGCTCAGGTCTAGGGTCAGGAGCTGGCCCCTCCAGCTGGGGTATCTCCGAGATGCCACAGAGCCCCGGCCCTGAGGCCTAGCTCCAGCTCAGGCCAGGGCTCACCGGAGTCAGACTCGTCGGGACTGACGGAGCTGAGCAGGTCCTTCTCCTTCTCGTAGTCGCCTTTGCACAGCAGCTGGCCCTCTTTGAGCACGAACTCGTCGCCCTTGCGTAGCTGCCGCTCACACACGCAGCAGCAGAAGCAGCCCAGGTGGTACACGCACTCCAGCGCCCGCATCACGAACTCGGTGGGCGCGATCTTCTCCATGCAGCCGCTGCACTTGGCCGCGAAGAGCCTGCAGGTGCACAAAGCGGTGCGCTGGCTGGGCTCAGAGGTCCTCCAGTGGTCAAGGGCCTCTCCCTCCTGCCATCCTGACCCTCAGGCCTGAGTAGGAAGGCCCTCCTTGGGCATGGGACCAGACAGCAAGAGCACCCTGTGGCCCTACCCTCCTGCATCGCAGGTCCCCAGAAGGCTGGGCATCCGCCTACAGGCACCTCTCCTGGGTGCAGCAGCTCAGGGTCCTTCCTGCTTAGAGACACAGTGGCCACTAGAGGGTAGTGTACAGGGTACGCCTCAATCTTCCCCGGAGTCCAGGTTGGGCCCCTGTACTGAGAGGGTCCCATTCATCTCCACCTCCCCACCAGCCTCCTCCCTGATCCTCCCTCACCTCTACATTCAAGCAGTTCCCAGCTCTGTCCAGCCCACCACTCAGTCTGGGCCCCCCTCTGCTGCCCAAGGAACTGCCCTGTCCCCTTCCTGGGCTCCTGGGCCCTACAACTCCTCCTCTCTGCCTCCCTCACACACACACAGGAGCCAAGGGAATCTTTCTAAAACACACATCTGACCATGCTGCTTCCCCGCTCCAGATTGTCTCATGGCTCCCTTGTACCCTGAGCCTGCCCCTTCCCTTGCCACCTCTGCTTCCCAGGCTGTGGTCCCACAGAACAGACTGCAGTTTCTCCAAAACACCACCATGGCAGCCTTTCGACATGCTCCCTCTCTGTCGCTGGGCTTGGTTGGCACCTTCTCATCCCTCTGTGTCAGTGTATGCACCTCCATGTGAACAGATACTGACTGAGCGTGTACAGCACGCCTGCAGCTGCTCTAAGCATTTAAGTGCAGAAATGCATTCACTCCCTGCAACAACCCTACGAGACAAGAATGAATATCAATCCCATTTTAGAGATGAGGAAACTGAGAAAATAAGCAGCCAGGATCACATGGATTATAAAAGCTGGCGCCACCTCCCATCCTGGACCAGATCCAGTCCCTCCATGGCAAATTGGTTCTACCTCCCATCTCCTTAGACAGACCAGATGGGACTCTGCGCCCTGGCCAGCATGTGCAGGAGGGCCTGGGCAGCACGGCCCCTCCTCTGCCCGTGCCTGCTGACCGCTCCTCCCCACACCCACACCCCTGTCACGTGCCCTGCTCTGTGGGAACTCAGCTTCAACACTTTGATGGAAAAATTTATGAAGAATCAAATTATTGCTGCTGGGAGGGAATTAAAACCATTTTTCATTCCCGCGTCCCCGGGCCACGTCTGCGGGCGCCACCTTGGGAGCGCTATGCACATCCCATCCCTCTTTATGGCCCGCCATCACGGGCACAGATTACAGCTGCAATTCTCTACTAATCGGTTCTGGAACAGAAACGGCCGTAAATGGGAGGCACTTGCTTGCCTCCATTCCCGGGGCTGCCGTCAGCACCACCTACGGTGAGCTGGTGGGGCACGATGGACAGGGCCGACTCAACCTCTGCCTGCTGCCCTGGCACTGGCCAGGGCACTCAGCTTGGAGGCACCCCCAGCGACTCCTGCCCCCCCCATTCTACCTGGTAGGCTCCTACTCATTCTGCAATGCCCAACTCCAACGCCACCTCCTCCGAGAAGTCTTCTCTGACGTCCCAGTTTGGGGGAGATGGCCTTCCCTGAGCTTCTCTTTGGTCTCAGTTCATTTTGCTGTAAAATGGGGTGTCAACAGGACCTCACTCTAAGGAGGGAGGTTGTCAGGACTGAAGTGATACTTGAACACCTGAGGGTCACAGTGGAGTGCAGTAGAATGACAATGCATGTCTCTGGCAGCACTAGCTCTACTGGGGCTCTACAAGGTAGGGCCTCTGTGAGTGTCTGCGAAGCAGGCAAACCTGGGAGAGGTGAGGCTGAGTCCAGGCTCTGTTCCAGGTGGCAGGACCCTATAAGCTCACACAATGCACGGCTTTGCAAGGGGAACATGGGCTTGATTTTGGCTGTAGCTTGGCCTTTTGGCTGGACACATTTGCTCAGGGTACAACCTGCCCAACTGTCCACGAGGCCCTAGGTAGAAGTCCCTAGGAATCTGGCTGGGTGTCCAGCTTTACCGAGGGGCTGAGGAAGAAGCCCAGGTTTGTAGAATCCCCTGCCCCCCCCTTCTGTCCCCTTCCCACACTTTATCTGACCTGGGGGCCCCACTAAGGTCTGCAGCCTGACCTCTGTGGCTTGTGAGTAAACAGATCTTGGCTGTGTCTCTGCCAGCATGGCAGGGCCTGGATCCCAGGCCAAGGTCAGCACACCCTGGGCAGCTCCCAGAGGGAGACCTTCTTAGGTTGGGGAGGGGGGCAGAGGGCGGGTGACCCGCATTTGCAGTCGATGCCACTGTGCTGGCTGTGTTCAGAACAGCCGCGCTAATGCCTTGGCAGCAGGGGGTCGATTGCTACTTTCTCCAAACTCATCAACACAATCTATTATTAATACTTCTCCAAAGGCTCGGTGCCGCCATTACGGAGGCAGCACCAGCCACTCGGGGCATCATCTGTTATCTAGATTGCAAAACTCGGGAAATAAAACAAACTGTGCACACTTTATAAACGGAATGCGCCATCCGTTTGGTCTCCAAGCATCTCTCCACCCAATAAAACATCGGGGGGGAAGCATGAAATACTCGCTCCCAATTATGGGGCTGCCTTTGTCTACCATGCCAGGGTGAGAGCGACTAGCAGCATGTGAGGGAGGGGCTCGGGCGCCAGCAGGTCCCCTCTTCCCTGGGAGTCCTCATTCACACCCTCCATCCCTCCCACCTTGGAGGGACTGGTGGAACCAGCCACTAAGTAGCAGGCCCAGCCAAAGACAGGTGGCATTAGAATCAGATGGACCCGGGTTCAATGCCTTCTTCCACCACTTGCTGGCTGGAAACTGAGTATGTAATTCTGTCTTCCTTGGCCTCAGTTTACTTATCTGTGCAATGGGCTGCACAACACTACCTGCTTCTCAGCATAAAGATGTAGTGAATTGTTAGCATAAAGCAGCAGGTACAGAGGGCACAGCTTAGGGCTTCATCCTGGCTCCATAACCTTCTCGCTGTGTGACTCCAGACAAGATACTTAACCTCTCTGAGACTCAAATTCTCCGTCTGTAAAAGGGGAATGGTCATACCCAACTATGGGTTTGTTGGGAGAGTTGAATACATTTAAAGCCCTCAGCTATGTGCTAGCATGAGGAAGGCACACCACAAAAGTCTGCTCTTCTCTTATTCCATGTGTGTCCAGAGTGTCTCTGTTGATCACCCTGGCAAGGAGTCCCATGGTTCTTGGGAGCAGCCTCCCTAATGTCGTCAGAGCACTCCTGGCCCAATCATGTCTGTCTCGTGAACATGACTGAGCACTGACAATGCTCACTGTTCTTTGCTGGCATCGCCTGGTCATATCCTCACAGACCTGAGAGGGAGGTACGATTCCATTCCAGATTCACAGGGAGTACACTATGGTGCAGCAGGTGGTTGGCACATTCAGGGTCACACGGCAGCATCACCTGCTCCCTGGTTGTGCACCCCAGGGTGCCTCTGTTCATCAGTTGCCCTTGCCCTGCACTCTGAGTACTGTGCCTGTGTCTGTCTGCCCCCAAGACTCAGGGCCTGATTCACCCCAAGTTCTTATACTTGACATGAGCCCACCCAGAAGGAGGGGCTGAGCATTTGGGGTTTTTTTTAACAAACTGAATCCCCCACCCCATGTACACACACACACACACACACACACACACACACACACACTCTTTTTTTCTGGGTATCATCTGTGATTATGCAGTGAGATATTCCATTTTGAGGGTAGTCCCTGCCTTGGGGGGGTCCCAGTCTGTGAGCAGACATCTCCATCTCCTCTGAGTTTTTATGGGTTTATTTGCTTAATGCTCAACTTATTAAATGCATAAGGCTAATAAATAAAACTCTGAAAATAAATATTTACAGGAGCATTCGAGCATGTTTACAAATCTGATGAACTTTTCCCAAGTCCCTGACAACTGCAGAGATGCTGGGCACGGCTGCTCCCCTCGCCACAGACATACCTGTCCTGGACACTCCAGCCTACCAGCAAGCCTTCACTCCTAGATCTTAGAGTCCACATGGCATGTACCAGGCTTGGCTCCTGGCTCCAGCTCTTCCTAGCACTGGACTCTTTGCAGAAGATCTTTCTCCTGTTGCGCCTCAGTGTCCCTTTCTGCCCAGTGGGGAGAATGATGGAGGCTGCCCTACAGGGCGAGACACATGACACAGGCTCCGTAAAGGCAGATATGATCACTGTCATCATCTCCCCAGGACTTGTGGCACCCATTCACCATCCTTGCTGAATGGAAGCTCCCCTACCTCCTCCTTACTGCCATTCCTGCCACCTGTCACTGTACTTTACAGTTTACAAAGCCCTTTGTTGTGGTCTCAGAACAATTCACACTGCATGTATGTGCTCTCCACTCTCAGTGGGCCTCCTCTACCCCCAAGACACCCCTATCCAACCCCTCCCGCACCAGCCTCAGTGGTGATCCCTAGCCTCCTCTGTCATTCTCCGGTTTCTAACCACAGCCCCCACACTTACTCAATGGACACTGTCACCTCTCATTTCATAGAGAAAACAGAAGGTTTGGGGAGATGTACCCAAAGTTCAGTTTTGTCATCAAGTCAAATCAGATTATGTATCCCCCTTACTTCAGAATGTACAAGAGCACCCAGCGATTTCAGGATTAGCCCAAAGTCCTCACTGTGGCACTCAGGGTCCCACCCACCCCATCACACCTGGCTCTAGCTGCCAGGCTTCTCATTGCTCCCTGGACATAGCAAGGCCCTTTTGATTCCTTAGCACTTAAAATCCCCTTTGCTTCCAAGGCCTATCTTCTCCACTCCTTCCTTTACCTCTTGTTGAACTCTCCTTTGTCCTTCAAGGCCCAATTCAAGAGTTATCTTCTCTGTGAATTCTTCGCTGATGCCCACAGTTCCAGCCACTCTCCAGCTAATTTGTGTGTCTGAAGTCGCTATTGACCTAAAAATCAGTCA